CCGGGAGCCCCGGTCCCGCCGCCCTGGGGCTGTGCGGGGCGGGGATGAGCCGGGGAAGCAGTTTTACTTCCAGAGCAGCGAGTCCGGCTCAGCTCCCAGGAATAAAGCCAATTACTAAATGAGTTTGCCGTGCTTTCGCTTCGTTTGCTGGTTGCGACAAAAAAAAAGCCCTCTTTTTTGTGTCCGCAGAAGTGGAATAAACTGATTTTTCAAGGGCCCCAGACAAGGCCCTGGCTCCTCGCTCTCGTGTTCGCTGTAAGAAATTCTCAGGGACGTGGGACTGAGTTTGCACATGTGAGGGGGTTTTGGTTTAACTGAGAAGTGGTTTATTTTTATGACTAAGTAGTTGAGAAGCTGCGCTGGGAATTCCACCATCAAAGCCCTGCCTGAGCAACAAAGGCTGGGTTATTTTAATTTATGAAAGGGTTACAGCCTTTGAAGCTAAATATAATGCAACCAGTGGCTTCCTCTCCTGTAACGCGTACCTTGTGTGTGCCCGTGCAACTTGGGGGATAAGAAACCACCGGTCCTGCAGGCGGTTAGCCCTGGACATGTGGTGAGTGCATGGGTTTCCATTAAACAAGGTACATGGAAATGCTCCACAGAAGAAAATGCGAACTTGGCTATGTTAAAGAAACATCCTAAATAAGAGAGACTTTGCTTTTAGAGGCGCTGAGCAGCCACAGCTCTCCTCGGTTTCCCAAGGCACGGGCTTTGGGAAACACCGCAAACAGAGCCCAGCCTTGTTCAAAGGCCAAGGCGTGGGTTTAGGAGACCGGCTGCGGGCATCTGGCTTGTACCTTTTGGCTTTAAGCCCTGAGCTCGCAAATATTGAAATCAGCGGAGTCCAGCAAAATTGCTTCTCTGTGCGCTGCTAAGGTCCTGTGCAGAATCGGGGCCGTTAGTGTAAATAAGTCCGAGAGCCAGTAAAGAAATCACATTTTCAACCTAAGTAGGTATAGCCAAGATATCTTAACAGACAGCGTATACTGTGCCGCCGTGGCAATTCAGCTCCTCTTCTGCATCACTGTTTTTTGTCCTGTTGCTCAGCTGTAGCTCAGGGGACTTTGCAGTCACCGGGCACGAGCCAGGTAACTTTATTTGGAGGGGAGGTGGTTTTCCCCTGTGGAGAACTCCTTGGCTTAGGGGCAACTTTTGCAGGAAGCCTATTCCAGCATCACAGCAAAAATTATATGGAAGCTGCATTCAATTTTCTGATGCAAAGCCCACAGCTTTTGTGTGGGAGTAGAAAGAATGGTTTTATTTAATGACCTGCTGAGTTTTCCATTTGTTTTATTGAACAAGAATTGGGGTGAGGGAGAAGCTCCGCTCAGCAAAAACCCCGTGCCTGCGCAGTATGGGCAGAAACTGGGGTCTGTCCTGACTTGAAATACTGCAAACTGTTGTGTCCGGAGGCCAAACCACGCGACATCGCTGGAGCACGAGGGTCTGTGTTTGCAGAGGTGTTGGCCAGGCTGTTCAGTGGGTTGTGATGGTTAAGTCACGCTGTTGGTTTTGGGGGGGGGCGTGGGGAGCAGGGCTGGGGTCACCCCGTTAGCCAACTCAACCGGAGGCACCGTGTGTCCTCACCGCAGCTTGCAGCAGGGGTATTTAGGCCAGCTCAGCGCTTAAGTCCGCCAGGGAGCCGTGTCGGTCGGAGGAGGTGAAACCCACAGCCCCGACGGGTCAAACCGTGCCCTTGCTGCTTCTGCTTACAAAGGGGAGGGATGAAAAAACACTTTGCTGGCAAGATGAAGCAGCTTTCTGAGCACGCTTCTTGTAAAGAGAAGGGCCCAGAAAGTCAGTGCGTGTCTGTAGGTACTTTCACAGATGCCTACTGACCCCTCTTTTCTCATTTTTCAACTAAATAATCGTTCTAGCACGCTACCTGCAGGGATTCTGGTTTCAGGTACAAAACTGGTAGACTTGAGCTGGTGAAATGGGTTATTTCGGTTTGGGTTTGGTGCCCATCAGTTCTTCATTTCACGTTGTTTAAAACCAGATTTGATCCATTCCCCTTGAACTAAAAATACGGACGCCTTTGTCAGGCGAAGGGGTTTGCGCTAATCAAAACCATCACTCAGCCAGCGCCCACCATGTCGATGAGCCCTCGTGGGGAGGAGCGGGAGGGGAAGGGGCTGGCCAGGCTTGGGAGGACCTCGCTTTTCGCATTCCCTCGCTGAGACCCACTGCTCGAGGGCTTGTCCTGGCAGGACCTTCTCATCTCAGCCGAGCCGATGGCTGCTCCCCGACCAGGAAAGGGCACTTCCCCGGAGCCGTGCTCGCTTTTTGGCACCGCAGCCTGGAGCTCGTGAATTCTTGAGAGCCTATTTAACAGGAATGAGCCTTGCTAAGCTGGTGAGTCTAAAATTAGCCTTGCCAGCTGTGTTGCAGCTGGCAGGGACATGTTAGACCGGCTCCTTTCTGCTTCCTTGGGCACGGGGCTGCAAGTTACAGCATTTCTTGTTCCACCTCAGTTTTTTCCCCGCTGCTGCTGCTGGTTTGACTGCCCCTCTCTCGGCACCCGTGTGGCTTTTACATGTAGTTATTGCCACCTGTGCGGAATTTGGGCATCTAACGTGGAGCAGGGCTCAGGAAGCAGCGTGCAGGGTCAGGGAATACCACTTGTGCCCCGCAGGATGGAGCGCAGCCGGGCAGAACACAGGGATTGTAGGGACAACCCCGTGCGGAAGAGCAGTGTCTGGGTGTGATGTTCAGGAGTTCGTACGCTGGGTTTTGAGCCCCTTAAGATGAGCACAGAGGGATGTGCTGGGGAGGTCAGCATGGGATTGGCAGGGTTTGTCTCTCTCAGGGCTCTCCTTCCCAGCCTGCCTGGTGCTTCTCCTGGAAAACCTCTGGGACGCACATCCCAGCCTTTCCCTGCTCTCCGCAGGGCTGATTCTCCTGCTATCCCCAGACAAGGGCTTTGCCGTCTCGTCACGGGTGGCCACGCAGCTGCCCATGGAGCAGGTCCAGGCCGACCCTCGGCAGCTGGTGGTGAGCTGCGGCACGCGCAGAGCGAGCGCTCGCCGTGGCCAGCAGCAGCCCTTCGGGCCCCTCAAGCTGTAACTCGGGTTTGGGCTGTTTCTGTCACCACGGCTCTTGTGGCACTGTTCGGCTGGTGCTTTTCAGCAGATTCTTGGAATAGCTCTCAGTTTGAAATACACGTAGGAAGCGTTATTGTTTCACTTGTGACCCGTTATTGTTACCGCAGCCCACTGCTCTCTGGCCAGCTTCGAATGAGGCTTCCTCCGTCCATCAACAGCTGCGTTGCAGCCCGTGTCCCACTGCCACGTGCACCAGCATGACCTCATGTAGATGCTCAGTGGTTTTTTTCAGAGCTGATATACTTTTTTTTTTTTTTTGGAGCGTTTCTCAATCATTTCCAGCAGGGAAATGGGAAAAAAAAAATAACCTTTCCTATTGTCTTTTCCTGCACCTGGTGGTCTCAAGAGCAGAAGACTGAGAGAGGAGGACCTGACAAACAAATCCTCCCTTTCTTGCTCCGTAGATGAGGTGGCTGGTGAATTGTCTCCGGCGATTACAAGAGGCAAAGATCAGCAAGCGGCTCTGCCCTCTGTAGCAGGAAAACCCCATTTCCTATGGTCCAGCCTCTCGTCTGGTGCCTGCTCCCGCTGCTCAGCAGCAAACCGCGGTCCCCAGAGCCGAGTGCCTCTCTGGCCGCGGTGGCTTTGGCCATTGCATCAATGTGGCACATAAATTCAAAGCAGATACCCGGGAGGAGCTGGGAATTGAGTGTCCCAGGGCAGGAGCTCACCCCAGGGGTGCCGCCTGCCTGTCCCACTCGGGCTCCCCGTGCTATGCAGATGTCCTGGGCCTCTCTCAAGCACACGCTGCTGCCTTCTCTCTCCATCGCAGCGGGGAGGAAACCAGACAGACCAAACCTGGGATCTTGCCGCTTCTGCAGGCGTTTCTGCTGCCCGCTCTCTTCCTATCTCTGCTCTCCATGGTGGAGAGCAAATTTCATCCTCTCATGAGAAACAGGCAGAGGATTTTAGTGGGCTGTAATTAAACCCAGAAGTGTTTGTGTCGGAGCTTTTTGATGAGATTGCGCAGCGCGGGAACAGAGGGTGCTGAGCGGAAGGGGCTCGGGGGCTGCTCTCCTTTAAAGTCCTGTCGGAGTGAGATCTGATGAGAAATCAAAGCTTCAGCTCTTGTGGGGTCAGCATGATTTCGAGACATAAAAAGCGATGCTTATTTAGTGCCAGAGCCTGACTTTCCATCAGCTCCCAGCAGAGGCAGCTGCAGCGGGTCTGGTATTTCCGTGCCTTTCCCCCTTGGTTAGGTGGGACCCTCCCGGGGTGGCTGCGCCGCCACCGGCTCTGCGTGACGCCCTTCTCCGCATTTCCCCCGTCGTGTCAGACTTGCAGCGAGACGTGGTGGCCCAGGCTGCGGCGTGTGGCCGGTGTGTGCGGGTGCCCCCGGTTTTGCTCGGAAGGGGGATTCGGTCACTGTGGTGCTGAACGTGCTCCTGCACAGCCCCGGCGCCTCTCCCGGCACCAAGGATGAACCAGGCACTTGCTCTTCCTGGCTCCCACGGAGCAATGACAGACGCCAACTGTTCCTGTTTTTCAAGCTCTTTTTTTGCTCTGTCCTTCCCTAAATCCCCTTCCAGCCTCCATGTATTTCTCTGGAGATGAAAGCATGGGGCCTCCTTTTCTCCCAGACGCCTGGATTCTGCCTGGGGTACGTTTGTGCTGCTGGAGAAGGGTTTCGTGACTGTAGAAATGTGGCGGTGGCTGCTGCCTGCGCCGCACGGAGCTGCTTTAGGGGCGCCGGCAGTGCTTTTGGGGCCGGCCGCGCTTCCTGGGGAGATCACCAATCTCCACAGCCCACGAGACGATGTCTTGGCGTTGGTTTCTGCCCACTTTGCTAACTCCAGAGTCAGCCCAGGCTCTCTCCGCTCTCGCAGCGCATCTTCTTCACCTCCTTTTTCCCTTCTTCCATCCTAAACACTTTTCTCTTCCCCCCCAAAGGGTGCTCCTGCAGTCTGGGGCTGATTTATACCAGTAAACACTGCACGATGCCTCCCATCACATTCCAGGATCTGCCACTGAACATCTACATGGTCATTTTTGGCACCGGCATCTTTGTCTTTGTGCTCAGCCTCATCTTCTGCTGCTACTTCATCAGGTGAGCCGGGGGCCGTGGCGGTGGGTTGGCACCCCCGGGGCACCCCCTGCCCTTCCCAGCACCCCCTTGTTTTGTCCCATAACGTGGGAGCCGCTCGCCACGAGGATCTGCCCCGAGGAGCGGGGCCGGCCGCCCGCCGTGCTCAAGCCAGGCGCGATCGTGGTCCCCTGCGGCCGGAGCAGGGCAGGAAACGCAGGAAGGGGCTCTTGTTTTCCAGGGGACCGTGCGAAGGGACGCATTGTGTCGAGCAGGGAAGGAGCGGCGCTGCACGGGAGAGGATGTGTCTTTACATTACACTCCCTGTTCAGGGAGGGCTATTTTTAAACCCAAAGCCAAGGCAGCAGCTGGCGTTTCTGCAGGGCCCGGGTGGCTCAGTCCTTCCCTGCGGGATGCCCCAGCTCCGCCGCTGTCCCGTGCATATCTCGGTCATTTTGGGGACTGCGGAAGCACGTCTCCATGCCTCGGCTGGAGGACAAGCGAAGGCTGCGAGCGGTCCCCTTCTCCCCGTGTCTTGCTGGGTTTCTCTGCCAGACGGTTTTCCCCGGCGCCCTTGCCCCGGCCAAGGTCACAGCAGGGCTGGGAGCTGCTGGCGGGCAAGCGCTGGAAATACAGCGTTTCCTCTGCCACGAACGACTTCCTAAGGCAAACAATCGGGGCTGCCGGCTGCCGGCTCTTATCGCTCCCTGCCGCCGATTCCTGCCGGCGCTGGAGGCGGCACGGGGCCCCGCAGCGCGGCTCTACCCGGGGCACGGCCTTGGGCTGGTCCTGGCCACGCTGCTCCGACAGCACAAGTGCAGCCTCAGAGCTGTTTATCCCAAATATTATTATTATTCTCCCAAATATTTTTGGCCGCGCTGTTCAGATGTGACCCTTGAGGATGCTGTAAAACTGACGGTGCCTTTTTCTCCCTCTCTGCAGCAAACTGCGGCACCAGGCTCAGAGCGAGAGGTTCGGGTACAAGGAGGTAAAGTCGATGCTTGTTGCCTGCACGTACCCACAGCGATTCGGGGCCGAGCGGGAGGTGGACGCAGCGGGGACCGGTGCTGCTCATCCCGGCCGGGCGCATTCAAAAGCGGTGTGACAGGACGCACTGCCCGCTGTGCCCGGGCTCGACCTGCCCCTGCCCGGCTCGGGTCAGCTCCCATTGCAGCTCCTGGCAAAATCCCTCCCGGTATTAAATCCTCTGCCTCCTTTTCTCCCTCAGGTGGTTTTGAAGGGCGATGCCCGGAGGCTGAATGTGCACGGGGTGAGTGGTCCCACCTCTGGGCTTTGGGGCTAACGGGGACGATGCTCCGGGGCCCATCCCCTCTGCTCCATGGAGTCGAAGGCGGCTCACAGGCAGAGTGAGGCCGGGATGGGGAAGTGCCGGCACCGCACTCATTTCCTGGGAAATGGGAGGAAAACCCCCTCCCTGGGGGCGGTTTGGGAACCGGGCTGAACTCCCAGCTGGAAATATCCGGGAAGAGGCACCGCAGCAGTGGGATTCCCCCGGCCACAGCATTTCTGGTGGGAGCGGGGCCACGTGTGGGCGTCGCGCTGGGTCCCACGTGTTCACAACCACCCTCACCCTCTGTCTCGCCTCCCGCAGCAGACCTGTGCCGTCTGCCTGGAAGATTTTAAGGTGAAGGAGGAGCTGGGGGTGCTGCCGTGCCAGCACGCCTTCCACAGAAAGTAAGTACGGCCGCGGCGGCCGGCGGAGGGCTGCGGGGAGCGGGAATTCCCCGGCGGGGATTTGCATCCCGCCGTCTTTCTGCCCCGCAGGTGCCTGGTGAAGTGGCTGGAGGTGCGCTGCGTTTGCCCCATGTGCAACAAGCCCATGGCGGGTCCGGCACAGCCCCGCGCCGGCATCGGCACCCTCCTGGACGAGCTGGTGTGAGCAGCCCCGCTCCTCGCCGGCCAGATCCTGCCAGGGCCGTCACGGGACCGCGGCTCCCCGCACACGGCATCCCCCGGCCCCGCGCGTCCCGGCGGATCCAACAGTTCGTCTCGAAGGATTCGGGATTGCTGAGTTGGGATTGAGCCCCCCGGCGCGGGCGGGGGCTGCGTCCCCCCGCTCCCCCTTTGCTGCCCAAATGGGGCATTAATTTGTATTTTTGTACCTGATCCCCCCGGACTCTCAGGCTCCCCCCGGGCCCGCGGCGGGGGGGGCGGGGGCGTGTACGGGTTTGTGGATAAACCACGAGTAAACGGACA